CCGTTCCGCGGTTAAGTAGGTGATTGGCTAACGAGCAAAATGTCGGTGAGCGCATGTCCCACCGAGAAGGAGGAAACCTCAACCATGAAAAATTTAGTAATTCTACACCGGTTGTTAAGGAGCATTCATTGGAAGATAAGCTCCGGTGTGCGGCGGGTGGCTGAAGGACGGGAAGATACAGCTGGTAGATATTTGTGCGAATGTGAGACCACAAACATATGCATGGTGGTGGTACTCAGTAGTATGTGCCCATACACGACCAACAGCCCCCGATTTAGCCTGCATCTGGATCCCACGATACTGGCTCATAGTGTCCAGACCGCTCCGTCTTATACTACAATCTGTAGCAATCGGACCCCTTCATTGGACGCATGTCGCAAATGGGATGGAGACGTCGTCCAACATGGCGTTACAAACCCCGCGTGTGATCATCACCTGCATAGAGGTATGATTGGAGGTGGAATGCACGGGTAGTCGTTCACAATTTCGTCGGGAATCTTGAGCATAGGCCCTGATGGAGAACTGCCGTGGGAAGCAGAGGTCGGCTCATGGACTTGCATTGACCTTTCCACAGAGGGCCGGTTTGGAATCCCGTCATCGAAAAAAGGCTCCAGGGAATTTTGAGCGTAGGAGGCTATGGGGTATGGTCGTGGGAAACAGACATCCGGGCTCCCCAGGCTCTTAGGCCCGAAGCGCTCTCGTTCATTGGGCTTCTCCACGTTTCTTCTTACGCGTCTGGCTGGCGAGCCACCCAGCCGGCTGGTCCTCCCGCAAATGGTGTGAATGTCTGAGATAGAGGAGAATCTCTTACCCTCGTATGGAATGATAGGGTCGTCTCTTTCTCCTTCCATTGTCGGAGGAGGGGACGTAGTACGTTTTACAAAGGCCCAAAGGCCGGACGTTTCCACACCTACTTACTAGTTTTGTGTGATGCCCCATAGACAACGTTCAAGCTCATGGAGGCTCAGCGATGTCATTCAGGACTTCCTCAGTCATATTTCATCTTAGCGATGCCCCAGGCATTACCGGATGACCATAAGGGCGCAGCCTTGGCCTGGAGCGGTAAGTGACCTCACGGTGAAGGGTGATAAGGAACAGGTTGATTCATGAGGGTATGTCGCCGCATACTGTAGCCTATAGGGCGAAGATTCTGCAGAACTACATGCAGAACCATGATGCAGGGGAAACCCGCATCTAACTGTGGTCCCGAAAGGGCTCAACTCAGAAGAGGAAGCTAATGAACGAGCTTTCTCATATTCTTGTGAAGTAACTCTTAGAATAAGGGAACCAGGAGAGATACAGCTTCGAAATTCTGGATTCCCAGTATGTAGGGAATGATCAATCTCGTGGTCGAGTCTCGAGTCAGTAGACGAACGGGTGCACTCAAAAGAGCTCATCGAAGATACACATCGAGGAGTGAGGGTATTTGGAGGTCAAAATCGTGTTCCAGAACCTGAGTCAAGCTTCTGAGCTCGCGTACGATTCCGTACAATCGGGTCAACAAAGGAATCGTATTCAGATACTTCTCTAAGCCCAAGAATCCGGGTAAAGAGGTCGAAGGAAACATATGAAAAGCATGAAGCATGACAAGAAGACCTAGAAGGGGGTGTCATAGGGATGTTATATACAAGAATACTGTATGCACGCGAGTCATCAAACCACTGGGCTGGCTCTGGCCTCTCCGAGATCCTGTACCGGCGCTAATCTACCTACCCTGGACCACCTTAGTAGTCACCCCGTCTTCCGAACCTATAAATGTCTTCACTATTTACTAGGCAAATATTGCCCCACAAGCGTCCAAGTCTCGTCAGGGAAAGAATATACAAATGGTTTACTAGTCCGGCGATTATAAGTTAGATCAAACTCCTCAATTAGGTTGCAGCGAGAGTGCCTGCTTGGCTTGGATGCTTATCGCTAAAAATGAAGACTTGCTTCCAAATAAACCGTAACAGTTGACAGCAAGCGGTCTCGACCGCCAACGTAGGCGTAAAGGATGAGAGGCCATCGGCACCGTGCAAGGGGAGCGACCTTTACTCTGTCGCCCGGTGATGTTTGCGCTAGCCACTATCGTCTTGGTATAATAACTCGGACAGCAGCCAGCAACAGAGAAATGAAAATGCCCTCCTGTCGCTGCGTCATGCTATTGTAGGTGTTTGCTCAACCAAGGTAATGCTTACAAGCACGCCAGCTACCTGGCATACTAGTCCGCTTTCCTTCTGGCGCCGTAATGAACAACGAATTCATAAATCACACGGGAACATAGATTGATTTGATATAGTCGGCCAAATTTCACGAGAATTCATTTCGGTAAGAGGCATCAAATATAAGTGGCCAGCCGCCCACTGCCAAGCGCCGCCTCGGGTAGTCGGAATGTTGAAGTGAACGGGGGACGAGGGGGCTAATTAGACTCTTCCCGTTTTTAGCCTAGCTGGGCAAAGGTGAGTGGGCCTGCGGAACCGAACCGATTCCTTCACCAGGACTGAAGGATTGAGTGGGCCCGGAAAGGGTGCCATGTGCTCGGCCAGACTCGTACTCAAAATTTCCCGTCCAATAATTCTTTCTTTTTCCTTCATTCCCCTTTTCGCTTGCCCATTTCACCCACAAGAACTTTTGAGAGGGACAGGAAATCGAGAAAGAGGCGGTTGAAATTGAAGAAAAGTCGCTCGTTTTTTTTTTTTTTGCGTTTTGTCGGGATTATTTCCAACCTCCTTTCCCTTCGTTCACCCCTCAACGGCAAGATCGACCATGGTCATGAACACAGCTCTCGGGCGCGTCGCGCTCGCTTGTGGCGCTCTTGCGCCTGCCGTCTTGGCGCAACAGACGACGGTGGTACGTACAGGTAGAGGACAGCGCCCTTGGAAGGCTCAGGCTCAGGGCCGGTGGACATCAGGGCCAGGCGAGTCTTTTTCGCGAGCACGAACTGACAAAGGGGCGCGTTTTTAGCAAGGCTGGATTCCCTATGTCGGAGGCGGTCCCGATGAGGCCGAGTTCTACGCTAGCGCGACATTGGATGTGAAGACAACGGTGAGCTATTCCCTATCATTCCGCCCCTCCGCTTCTTGTATCTCCTTGCAAGCACTGCGACGGGATCTTCCAAGTTCTATCGTACTCATGAAGATTTGGGTTATCGCAGATTGGCAACGCCGTGGTAGCTGTTGTCAAGATGCCCGACGAGTTCGGAGAAGAAGGAAGCGACGCGTACAATCCCGAGTTCACCATTGGGCCGAATAGTAAGTTTCCAATGCTCACGAATGGATGGCACTTTCTATGTTTCACGTGCTGAACTGACCTTCTATAGCCTTCCACATCGATTGGACCTATACCTACACCGAGACCGACGAGGCCACGACGACCCTTTCGGTTGCGTATGTATACTCGCGTACCCGGACCCCTATCTCTGTCATCCCCTCAAAGCTAATCTTCCCCCTCGCGTCCTAGCTCCGAGATGTATGACTGCACCTTCTCCGGGTGCCCTGTCGCGACGGCGGGATCGTGCACGTTCGCGGGCGGCAGCAGCGACGATGACGACGACGACGACGACGGGCCGAGGAGCGGCACCTACGTCCTTGCCTCCACGGACCTTCACTTCTACCCCCTCACGCTCGCCACTCCTCTCCCCACTGCCCTGCCAGACAGCTGCAGCGGCGACAACGAGAATAGCGGGGATAGTGAGGCGACGCCTACGAAGACTACGGGATCGGAGGATCAGGCTGCCGCGTCAGACTCGCCGAATGGAGGGTGGAGGGCCTCGGTTTCGTTGTTTGGCCTTATCTCGGGTGCTGTCCTGGCGCTTGCCATCTAGGGTGGCTGCTAGGCCCGACATTGTCGCAGCAGCGATATGTTTCCCACCGCGTGTCTCGATGCATCACATTTATAGAACCTAATATGTATAGAGCTTAATATACTTCTGCATCGACTCTTGAATAGGCTGCGCAGGTGGATCTCGCACCTGGCTCGCCAAGGCATTATTTATGCCCCGAGCTGGAGACTGAACCTTGACCTAGGTGTTTTACAGTACAGCTGTACGGCCAGGAACGTCTTCTTTCATAATGCGTAAATACACCCAATAATTACCCACTTTCGCTTCGGATAGGGTAGTTTCGCGGGAGCCTTATTCTCTCACGTGGTAGGCTGCCTATGCACACCCACCGATCAGTCCCTGTGCGACAATACCGTCTCGAACCCCGCATGCGGCAGGCATCAACACAAATGTCTCAATAATGACTTCTCGATGAAGCTGTAAACGGCCTATTCCTTCCCTCGCCACGACGGATGGACTGATACTACGGATTGTCATAACCTGAAAATCGCAACGAATATACCATGTGGAACAACCTTCGCTCCTTTCTTCAGCCACCGAACCTGCCTTCTCAGCCAAACCTCCCTCCACCCGTATCCATCACCGGCATCAGGTTCCCTGCCGACGGGTCCGAGAAGCACCTGATATCCCTTACCACGACCACTCACGGGGTATATGAGGGACCAGACTCTTCCTGGGGGCATGTACCCGACCTGCGGAGCTTCTGGAAGATCCAAAGGGCGTGGCAGTGGCGCGATATCGAAACCTTTCGGCTCGAGAACCAGCCGATACGCAGCTGCAACGGCCTATATGTCGTCTTCTTCTCGTTTGACGACTCGTTACCGGAGAACAGGAACTTCCCGGTGGGTATATATGGACGGGAGAGACATTTTGTCGGGGATGTGTTCGTCGTCAAGCTGAAGGGGGATGAAATCGGATCTGACTTGGGGGAGGATGGATGGGCCGTGTGGGATGACGTACCTGGGGATATCTTGAGCTTGCCTGTCATGAAATCGTGAGACTGGATGTCTGGGTGTCTTTTGAAGGGATATCGAGGGGTATACAGGGGAGTACGAGGTGTAAACTGACAAACTACAAGACGCTCCTTTAACCATAATGCGTACATAAACATACAAACCTCAAAATAAAGATATGTTTACTAGGCACACCGGCCCGGATGATGTACATAGGGGCAAAAAAGTGGACACACCAGGAATCGAACCAGGGACCGCCTCTAATTTGCTCCTTTCGGATGCTAAAGAGGAATTATACCACTAAACCATGCGCCCCTCTTTGTTGAAAACTGGTTCGCGCTGCCTGGACAGAAGAAGTTGCCACGCGACTGGCCCACTACTATTGTTCGGCATACATTGCTCCGGGGTGGGGCCATAAGTTAAGGTACCTCCGTCCAGGTACGATTCTAGCTTGCAACAGAGGTACAAGTACGAATCTGGATGGTTGGGTTAATGAATCTCCGCCTATCTAGTATTACATTGTAGGTGTACTACTGCCCTCTCCTTCGCTTAGAACTGTGGCCACCCACCCATTCATTCTTTCTTGAGCACCACAGAACCGAGCGCCTGATAGATAATCCACTTCTCCAGCCGCGAGTGTCTTGGCTTTTTCCCGCCTGGAACCCATCACATGCCAGCCCTTGCATGATAAATTGCATGCACTCCAACACCTGCAACCTGCGCCTTGTCGTCACATAAGCGCAACACCGTGGTTGTGGTTGTGTCTGGGCGGCGGGAAGGAACATTTGCCTCGAGGACCAGAGGTGCGTGTAAAAATAGCTCATATCCATAATTGCACTAGTGTATTTCCAACGCCTCGCCCGCTCTAAATGGAATCTGATGCTTTCTGGTATTCTAACATATCCAACGCCCGTTTATACCACAAGTGCGGCCGCAGCAGCAGCTCCAGCAGCCAACAGCCAGGCAACTTCCCTCGTCCCAGCGGCATTGCCATCGTCGCCCTTATCCCCACCCCCGCTACCGCCATCGCTATTGCTCCCACTCGTCTGCTGGGCCTGGTCTAGGCTCGTAATCGTGGCAGTGGCGGTCACGTTGCCGCAGTCGGTGGGCATGTCGGGTATCAAGGTCGAGTTGCAGTAGTAGGCGGTCTCGGTCGTGAACTTCGTCACGCCGATGGCACTGCCGAACGAGAACATGCCGCCGCTGCAGTCCATCAGCCAGCACTGGTCGCACTCGAGGTGGTAGAGCGAGTATATGCACTTGGCATTCTTTTTGCAGAGGGCCTCGCAGAGGTCGGGGTTGGGCACGATAGTGTTGCTGATGACGCCGGTGACGTCCTCGGGGTTCATCGCGTGGGTTGCGGCGGGGAGGAGGGCTACCGCGCCTGTGAGGATGAGTTGGGACTTCATATTTTGTATTCAAGAACTTTGACTTTTGGACGAGTGACACGATCGGAGAGTTGATATTAACGGACGGCGCGGGTCTGGAATCGAATGGCTTTTTTCGGGTTGTACCTGAAGATGCGCCTGCGGATGGCAGGCTCTCCTCTTTTTGTATGTCCATGCAAGCATGTAAGTGTTACCCGTTATATGTCTCCCTCCTCCATCCATCGGGGAAAGTCTACAAATGTAGCAAATGCTCCGCGAACCACGGGATGAATGTTGTCCCTGCAGGGGTTTGACTGAAGAATAACAGCCCGTGAGCCGATCAACCCACGTCAATGTGCAGGGTCGGGCGAGGTTGGCCGGTTGCTTACGCCGAGTACGTACTATTCTTACCCATGCTTAAATTAGAGCCTCTCTTCTTATCCGATTTAGAATGGAGAAGGGTCTACTCTGATTGGTGGATATACGTACCTTACCTTTGCCTGGCTGCCTGCCGCCCTTTCCGAGCTGGGCCCGAGCTCGAAAATTGCTTATGTTTACAATGCCGATTTCAATGCATGATTTCTCGGTTGGGTTGGATCACATCGCGTCCTTTGTCTGCCGCGGCGCTGGCTTGCCTTTCAGAGTGTACTGCCTTGAGCTTAATAACTCGTCGTCTTGCTACCGGGTGTGAATTAGCCAGCCGCTAGAATCCTGGCGACTGCTCCGCGCGCAGCCGCTGAGCTGCACCCCGAAACGGTCCCCTGCAGGTCTCCGACAAAGTTTTCGTTGCCCCCTTTCAACGATGCAGCCTTACGAACTCACGTGGAGTCCGGCGACGACGACATGTGTCGTTGCCGCGCTAGGTCTCTGCTTGCACGTCGCGCGTAAATTATGGCGCGCCCGCGCACTCATGTGGGTCCTCAAACGGCGAGGAAAGGTAGTCCCCCCCCGCTATCCCCCCTTTTCCTTTTTCCATTTGTCAATCCAGGCTAGAAAACGGCGCTCAACTAACCTCCTGAGCCAGTCCATGCCATCATGGAACCCCTTGCTCGGAAACCTGCTCGCCGCCGGCAAGGTGTTCGACCGCCTGCCGGCCGACAGCCACAGCTGCTACATGCTGCGCATGCTGTCTCTTGACTTCCCTGATGGCGCCTACTACCTCGACGTCTGGCCCATGATGGACCCCCTCCTCGTCATCACGGATCCGGACATGTCGTACTCCGCCGAGACGCACCCGCAGGTCGGCGCCACGAAGCCACCTAGCCTCCAGGGCTGGTTCCACCCCATCTCCGGCGGGCCGTCGCAGTCGGACCTCAACGGTCGTCCCTGGCGGTACTTGCGCGACCTGTTCAGCCCGGCCTTCAGCAACAGCAACGTCAATGCCATGGCGCCCGTCATCGTCGACCGCATCGAGATCTTCCGCCAGATCCTCCGCGAGAAGGCCGCCTCGGGCGTCGAGAGGTTCCCGCTCGAGCCCGCCGTGCTCAGCCTCATCAACGACATGATCTGCGAGACGCTTCTGGGTATGAACTCGGACGTCCAGCGCCAGGGACACCCCCTCACCGAGGCCATGATGCGCCAGCTCCGCATGAAGTTCACCGAGTACAACCCCGCCAACTTGCTCTCCTTCTTTAACCCCGTCGGCCGCTACAGGCTCTGGAACAACAGCCGCATTCTCGACGCCGGCATGAAGGCCCAGCTGCAGAGCCGCTTCGACGCCTACCGGTCTGACAAGGCCGGCCAGGAGGCGCGGGTCTTCAAGCCTCTCATCGACATCGCCATCGAGGATTACCTCCGCCAGCCGGGCAACGTAGGCGCCACGTCCATGGACCCGGACTTCCTGGCCATGATGGCGCGGAACATGCGCGCCGCCTTCTTCGTCGGCTACGACTCCACCGCCAGCGCCATCCTGTTCTGCTACTACACTCTGTGGAAGCACCCGGACGTCCTCGCGCGGGTCCGCGCCGAGCACGACGTCGCCTTCGGCCCGGACATCGACAGCGTGCCCCGGCAGATCGTCGAGCGGCCGCAGGCCCTCAGCGCGCTCCCCTACACGCTGGCCGTCATCAAGGAGACGATGCGCCTCTTCCCCGTCGCGAACGGCATCCGCGACGGCTCGCCCGACTTCGAAGTCGTCGACGCGAAGGGGAACAGGTATCCCACCGAGGGCTTCCAGGTCGTGATTTCGCACTACTCCAACCACATGAACCCCAAGGCGTGGCCGCGACCCGAGGAGTTCATCCCCGACCGGTGGCTCGTGGAGCCGGGCCACGAGCTGTACCCGCCCGCGAAGGGGTGGCGACCCTTCGCGCACGGGCCCAGGGCGTGTCCGGGGCAGCAGCAGGTCATGACGGAGATCAAGGCCGTGCTGGCGTGCACGGTGAGGGAGTTTGATATTAAAGAGTGCTACGATGAGGTGGACGCGGGGAAGAAGAAGCGGCCGGACCTGGCGGGGGTGGCTGGGTACCGTCCTTACATGATCGATGCTGGCGCGGCGCACCCGACTGGGCAGTATCCATGCCGTGTGACGCTGAGTGGGTATACTCCTACCTCCAGCTGAGTGAGTTAGCCTTTGTGGATATATGATAGGAGCAATAGTCGAGCCAGGAAGTGATAAATGTTTATATTGGGCACGGATAGAGTTGGACTTTGGCAGTGATCAGCAAACTTATACACCTCTAGTCGGCAATTGCCGCGAGTTGGAAACTAGAACACAGCGCCTTGGTCGATTCTACGAAGAGGTTGCCATCAAAAGATAATGGACAAAGAAAAAAAAAAGAGTCATTGAGCTCGTTCAGACTCGGGACTAAAGATATGCCGTCCTGTATAGGCCAACTGGTTTTGTCCTTTGCAAGATCGGTCCTCCGACCCTCACTCCGACCCCGTAAAGGCTCCACGATGGACCGTCACTAGTACATACAACCATAGCTCGTGGAAAACTGAGGGTCCCGTCCGCTCCCCTATACATAAACCACGAAGCGCTAGACTAGTAGTTGGGTCGGTGACGACCAGCGAATCCCTGGTGTTGTATGTTTTGTCTCTTTTTGCCTCCTCTTGATCCATTGCAGGGTGTTGGACGGAGAAACGATACTTAAATTGATTGAAGCAGTACACCTAAAATATCATGGCGTGGTGCTGAGCGTACTCCAAATGCCGCTGTAGCACATCCCAGTCAAGTATGAACCAAAGCCCTAGAGACCAAGTTGCCAGTATATCTTAGAGACCGGGAAGGAACAGTCTTTGTAGATGCAGCTGGGTCTCTTGTTACATGAAGCATCGCAGCTTCCCATCTTTATACTCAATCGCTTCAACTATGGCGGGAATTAGATATCTAGTCCCATCAAAGGGTATTCCTCCGCAAGCGACAACAGGAAGGTCCAAGGAGATAGGCACCTACATAGGTTGACACCGCTCGTCCACTCCAAACCGTTCTGACGAATACAAACGCACCGCAGCCTCTTCTCTCTAAGATAGTCAAACGGGCGCTGTTTCCACGGGAGTTCGATCGTACAGCTCTTGCATGTAGAGCTAAAAGAGCCGCTGTATTGTGTCCCCACCCTCCGTGTTAGTAGAGAACACGATCTTGTATAATATGAATAATTCAAATCCAGGATGAGCCATCAAGAGGCTGGTAGAAGTGGCTTACCCCTTCTGAACTACCAAATCCCCATCTTGATTCCCAATGCAGTCGTCCAAGTTGACGGATTGTTCCGTACTCCCGCCTGACATCTCGTCGTTGGCGCCATTCGGGAAGCACCGCGCATAGTACGTCCACACGTGTTCCTTGTCGACAGCACCCGGGGTCCGAGACTAGACGCTGTTTCTCTCTAGAGTCGCCAAAGGGAGCACTCGAGCATTCTAAAGGGCTAGCTTTCCTCCGCCTTGTACCAAGGACCGAAGTCTCCGCCCCTCTTCGCAAGGAATGTTGTTTCACAGGAGAGTTGATAC